CGTGTACAATCGAAATCTGAAGCGGAAGTATGTATGATTGATGAAACGTTGACCTGTTAATTATTATTCGGATATCATTTACGAGTAGGCTCAGGGGCCATGATATAAACGTTGGTATTAACAGGTTACCTAGGGAGTTACTTACCCATACAATAGAGAATACAACACACACTACACATATCGGAATGCAGTGCCGAAGTCTATGTAAATCCATCCTCTCACACTGCAAAGCATCCTGGGAATTATAAAATTAAAATATTTAAACTTGGCGTAAAGGTACGTCCTTTAAGTTGATCGACGTATACAGTACTACAGACTGGGGCTGTGTACATGTGACATCTAAAAAATAATGGAAGTTGCAATGTGCAGAACGATGTACCATTGTCTGTTCCCAGATGGGTCCACGGAGTCGGTCTGTGGTAACCATATCGCCTCTTGAAATACCCATCCTCCTGAAATGATTCCGCACACCATACCTATTCGCACGTCTGTATGTCCTGAGATACAAATGACTTCAAGTCCGCTACCCATAGGTTCATTTACATATCAATATCATTAACCCACTAATTACGACAATATCTTTAATTAATAATTATGTACTATATTAAGTTTATTTAACTGAAATACTGACCTTTTGTCCAATTGTACATGCAAACCTTCGTGCAATCTACCATGTTGTTTCCCGAATTGTTAATTATTAACGATGAGTTTGGTCTGTGTGGTTAATATTTAATACTACATGTAGTATAATTATGAATGGCGCCCTCTGTCGGTAGCTACGTATCTTTAGCGGGAATTCGTTGTTGTTTTTTCCAAAAAAGTGTTTGAGAATTGCGCACACACGGCTTCAGGAAACGTGTGTTATACTAGTATTCCCGCGGTTGGTTGTCTTCCTGAAATATGAGTAGGGTCAACCTCGCCGTAGCGTTGATGTCAGTCCAGAAAACTTAATACGGTCGATTAGTACTACCGGTAGCTTGTTTTTTTTTCTTTAGTATTTTTTTTCTGCCAAGTGCTATTTATTCTATAAAAAACATAAAGGACATAAAAGATACGAACACACACCCATATATGTATGGGGGGTAGCATCCAAGCGCATTTCTACTTATAATTATTCGTTTTATTCTTTGTTTAATTACTACAATAAATTATCCTGATCTACCAGGAAGTAACATACGATACAGTTCTGAAAGTCTTCAAAACCTTTTTTTTTTAATTTTTCTAATCAGATATTTTCATAATTTTATTTACTGAACAATGATGTACTACATTATTGTTGGTAAATTATGATGAGGCACACATGTGGAGACACATCGTCATGATGACGTCATTATTAAAATTAACTGTCCTTTAACTTGAATATTGCAGACGTCAAGCCAGGGCCATTGCCTTTAGTACTGGGACACAGGTAGTTAGAAACACTGCCGTGATTGCCGAAGGACATCGAAAGAAAACCGGAAGGAATGTTGTTAAAATACAGACCAAGGCCGTTATGACGGTCTTCATTGTGACAGGTAAGTGTGGAGTAACGAAATAACCAGCAATTAAGAGTTAAAGCGGGGGAGTCGTCACCTGCGCATGCGTCAGATGGCCATAGCGTGTCATTGGTCACAAAGCGTCTACCCATGAGCCTCTGCGTTTTTAGCGTGTGTTGGTATCGTTGCTTGGGGCTCAATTTCCCCGCGTGCGCAGGTGACAGCCCTCCCGCTTTGTTAAGAGCTAAGCGTAGGTGGACAGAAAGCAACTGAGAATTCGATAATACTTGTCATGATAATCCTATTACGATTGGTCTTACTCATTCTAAAAAGTAACACTATCACTTCTTTTCTTTTCTTTTTTTTCCCCGCAAAATTGTTTCCAATAGGTGTGTTTATGTTGTCATGGGGGCCGTACGCTATTGCCCATATGTGGTCTGTAACTGCAAATCGCGACATGCCGGCTTACGTCGAATTGATCGTCTCTTGGATGACTTGCCTGAATGCTGCAATGAATCCATACATCTACGGGCTCCGGACGAAGAGCTTTCGAAGGGCGTTTTATAGAGTCATCGGAAGACATTGTGAGTGCGTCACAACTCGGAACTCAGAGGTCATAGATCTCACGTTATGAATTCCGTTCAATGACCAAAGATATGTGGCACACGGAGAAGTATGCCAGTGTGTTATTTGTATTCTGCAATGGAAGGCTGTAACTGAACTTATCGATGTTATGTGAACGATTACCAATGTCTGTAGACCTATATATGTATTTGAACCAAAACACAAGTATTGGGGAATATCATTAATCCCCGAGTCAATTGAAGTCTCTAATGGGAGATTATCTGGGTATTTTAACTGTATTCAAATCGATTTTTTTTAAATAAATACTCTCCTAACAAAAGTAGAAGTAGAATATTGCGTCAAGATATGACATGTTTTGGGCAACAAGTGAACATGAAAATCGAATGATTTTCCACGACCAATATTAGTCTTGGCAACGGGCACCTCACATGACCAGTGTAGTTGTCGCACGTCTGATTTCGCAAATGCGACCAAAACTTTCTCGAGTACATGAAACTAAATAAAGAGCGCCATCATCCTACGCTATCGCAGGCTTCTATTGTTTTTGTTGTTTTTCCGGTGTTGTGAGCGGTTTCAAGTTCACGCAGTGGTGTTCGCGTTAGCGCACATCAGATGTAACGTGAAATAAGAAATATGCTGTTTTAACTAATGTTCAGTTATTTTTGTCAGAAAATAAGAATTGTATAACCCCGAAACTCTGGCAAAGATTATCGTCAAAATGTATCGGAAACACCACGTGCACTAATATCCATGAAACACCAGCCATTATAGATTTGCTAAGTGCAGATGGATTTAAAATACTCAAAATCTGAATCGTTATTTGCATTATTATTTTTTTTTCAGATTTATGTAAGATCGGATTTAAATTGTGATTTTCTATTCTCGTCTATGTACAGCTAACAGCTCTCCAGTGCGACCAATGCATCGATGAGCAGAGACGCTGCTCGTTTAAAAATCATCGACGTCGTTTCACATTTCTGCTGAACGTGTCATCGCGGTACCTGTTGCGACGCCCAGAGCAATCTGAATCGCGCGTTTGCATTTTTCACGAAAAAAAAAAAACACGATTCGGCTACTTTGTAGTATTTAAGTTATATTCCTTTTACATCCTCACGTGTTTAACGTTCAACACCGATCGTTGTTTATTTGTGTTGCCAGTGGTCTCCAGCGTAGCTACACTGTAGATCCACATAATATTTTCTCTCCCAGAAGAGATTTTATGACACATCCTAAAATGAAGACATCTGTGTACGTCAACACTTTTCAAATCAGCTGGGAAATGCAAAGCTTCTGTGAGGTAGTGTACATTCCCGTTCTCTATGTGAATTCGTTGCCACCCCAGACCCCGGCATACTCTGCAGCGTTTCTCACGAATTTATTCCTTTTTTGTTCGTTCGCGCATAATCCGGCATCCATTGTTTTAGTGCTCCCGCCGACATCTTGCAAGCCAAGCCCTGCTTTACTAAATGCAATTTAAGTCTGTATTTTATGTTTTTCTCAGCCATGAAAACAAAGATTTCCAAAATCGCGTGGTGCTGCAATGTATGGATGCGAATGAACAATGTTCTCAAATAAATTTTCAAAACTTGCCCCGGATGTGAAAAGTTCTATGCACCAGTTAACACAACATACGCATATGATCCCCTAAATTGTATATCTTTCAGTCACGTGTGATAATGGTATAATATCAACAACGTAATGCTCAAATAAAGCTAAATTTTAGTTGGCGGTGCACTCTCACCATACGCCTACTTAAATTTGATCATATGATAATGAGGAGTCTGTTGTGGTCTGCCAAGAGCAAGTTTAATGTTTTAAATAAGCCTGGCACAATGCTTTCAATACAAAATAACAACAGCGTCTGTTTCAGATTTATTTATAAATTGTATCGAAAAAGAGGAATTAAGTACACCACAAAGTATGACGCTAGAACCACCATAATCCACGATGCAATCTCGAGGAAGATCACGCGGGAATATGCAAATTCACAGCGTGTGTCTATGTGTGTTTCCATATTAAATTTGAATAAATACAGTAGTAAGGGGTCAAATAAACAACAATTATAACTGACACTATACTGACACAATTATAACTGACACGTAACTGCCAATTTACTTGTCATGTGACAACATAGTATGAATAGAAATTGATGAGAAAATACCTATTAGGTGACGGTATAATGTCATGGTTGAATGTAGTATGAATTATTGATGCAAATGTCCAGGATGTTTACAGTAGCCAGTCTGATGTGTTCAAAAATTACCCGTATGTTAGCTGGGGGATTGGCAAGGGACCTACGGTGATACCAACTAAGAAAATAAACGGAACTAAACAAAAAGGTTCAATTCTCAAATGACCGATTTTGTTTCCATGTTTGCACTAATTTGTTTAATTCGAGAACTATCATGAAGCGACTTTTTAAATTTGAGGTCGTTCTCGAAATGATCGACATGTTGTTTGAGTATTAGTATGTTTTAGTCTCGTACTTCAGCCACAAATGACAGGAGTGACGACAGTTGTTTGGTGCGTTGTGCAAATTTCTGTAGATATTTCATGGAGAACATGGATTTGCATTGTCCACATATTCGGGCGGCTCCATAACATCATACACTGTTTTCTGGCTCGGTTTTATTTCACGAGTCTGCGTGCACTGTCGTTTATATACTCAGACCTCTGCACCAACTTATGAATCGCCGTGGCGTCGTTCGTCGTTCAACTGATATGGCCAACTCCGACGGCCAAAGCGTCTTTCTTCGCCCCAGTAAAATGTTGAACTCTTAAAGTTGTTTGGCCCGGCCGACAAATCAGTGTTAAACTTGATAAACGATGAATGTTTTTTATTGTCATCGCCACTAATTGATTTAGAGTATTATCAACTTACAAATTCGACCCGGACCGATCTCTATATAAACATCAGTATATCTTTTTTTTCTTTTTGAGCTTCTAAATTTGACATTTTTAGATAGACACAGTGATAGAGTTCACATTGCAAGTTCAGTTATCACTCCCACAAGCCATTTCGAACTCCAAGTACAAAGTTCTGTCTATTTTGTTTCACAATTCGATATGATAACCCAGGTATGAAAGTATTTTATGGTCAGGAAATCACAATTTACCGCACTTTCATCTAAAAACGAAGTGTTTTTGTGAAAATAATTCGGTGTACCGAGAGTGGGAGCATGTTGTATTCAATTACAAATATGGAGTTCTTCGTCACGAATGCACGATTCACACGTGACTACGCAACACCAATGAAATCGACAGTTACAACTTTCTTCCACTCGCCTCTCCATAATTTGATAGCCTCGTCCGCAGCACATAAGAGCACAACTGTCACTGTTTCGACTTGTTTTATTACAGAATCGTCCGTGCGTTCCGTGTGAAAAGTACTTTTTATTCGGTTCGCACCAATCAGGCGAAGTATCCAGGTAAACTAGTTCCGTTACTGGAAGGCGCGCGCCCGTCTTGCTGTGAGGGCGTAATCGTTTTCTCTTTTTTGCGTATTTGACCCTAATCGCCTGGAAATACTTGTCCATGAGGATGTCTCCAATATCACGCATTTTGCGCATAGTCCTCCAGCATATCTTCGAAGTACATGATCCAGAGACTCCGTGACATTTACATTTTGTGTACATCTCATGTTTGATCACCTAGAAAAAAGAGAAATGTAAGAAGGTTATATAGGGAGTTACTAGTGGGACGTCGATTATCGCTTCTGTTTCTAATATATATACTTTTATTTATATTTGGTATACTAGTACCCACTTGGTATGGGAAAACTGATGGTAGTGATGGATGAAAGCCCACATTCGTTCTGAGGAGCTATTGGTAATAATCAAATTCAGCTCAATTTAGTTGTTAAAATTTTTGATAATTTTGATTTTCGGTCAAAAATTTGAAATTGTTTTTACGTCGTCAGTAAGTGTCTGTCACGACCCAACAACTGTATTGAAAGTGTCACGTGGCGCTGCTGACGTCACATCGACAGAGTTACGTCATAGGTTCTGCAAACAGATTAAATAACTCAGAGAGCATAAATTGAATGAGTTGGACACGTGCAAGGATCGGGTCACCCGTAGTTCAATTCATTATATCCTTGACGGCGTAACGGTGAAAAACTCGTTGAATCACAACACATGTATAATTTTACGATGGGAATATATCCCAATGTCAAATTCCCATATCACATAAAACCACCGTTCTATAAATTATCGATACTTCCGGTAAATGACCGAATCGAGTCCTTCAAGTTGAAATAGCTATACTAGTATCGCCCACGAAGACACGGTGATTGACTCACGATAATAATGCAAGTCAAAGCGCTGATACATTCGTCACGCAGCGCCGCTGCGCGTTAGAATTTCGTTTAGTAAAGGGCGGTGGTCGTGCGCCGCTTCCTTTTCGACGTGGGTCTCGAGCACGCGCTGCGCGACGACCGCCGCTCTTCAAAACAACCATATTTTATGCGCGCAGTACATGTCGCCCCCCCCCCCCCCGTTGATCACGACGCGCCGCGACTACTGCGATGCTTTAAAGCGGACATACCGACTACGACCGTACTTAGTGTACAGTGTAGGCCTTACCGGAAATAGTTTTGTTTCTCCGCTATTTTAAACACCAGAATTTTCCGTTGAAAATGAACTACTGTGATGTTCAGATAAACTGGCATTCGGATTTTTAATTAATTAATTAATATAAACTTTAAATAATATTACTACGTAATCATTCGGCCGTATATCGATCGATATCCTGTTACTGCTTTGCTAGTGCTTGATATTAATTGACAGTAGTCTTGTCGGAGAAATCCTCTGAAGATGTTACTTGTTAACGCCTTGTGTTGTGTGGACGTGTAGAACATGTGTTAAATACGTCATAAACTAGTTTATATTTTATGCTCGAAAGTGACATCGGAATTTCAAAATCGTTAATTTCACGACGGGACATTTGAGAAATAGATTAATCGATCAGAAGTTCAGAGACCCGCTACTGGTGTTTTTTTTTCCCCAAACACGCTTTCACTTTAGTCTCAGACCACTAAAGAAGTGGTCTGAGCTTTAGTATACAAAAAGCAAAATGTGCCCCACCCCCATCCTCTCCCGTGCACGTGAGTTCAGCCACGAAATATTGGGCGTCAGAATTGAGCAGGTCACCTTGACGGCATCCTCACGACACGTGGGCATATGCCACGTACAGTTACGATGACCTACAAGTGCAAGCATCATCCTGAACGGTTTCTGGTTAAAGTTAAAAATCCCTAACTAAACATTGGCTTAACGATGTCGCCGTAAGACAATACACTACTCAAACCATGTTTCATACATCGCGTCAGACCCGAACACCAACACGCAATGTTCTACAGACATTCCATATCTTGTATAAGATTTACGGCGAGTAATAAAATTGATTTAAACCTTGTTTGTTTCATTTGGGTTCCACGGAACATGGACGACAAGCTATAATTTTTATAATGAAATTATAATCGCTTCGACACATGTCGAACCTATTATATGTCCGAGTATCCGCCATTTTGTTTAAGGAGAAACTTGTTCATATCATGACGGCGCACGTACGATTCTCGTACACGGTGCCCGTGGGGCAGTAAGTCACGGGGCAGTAGTATTTTTGCCATTATTATTGATAATGAATATATAAATTACACACTTTTGATCCCATTATTGGATTCTGGCATTGCTCCAAACATATGCATGAAAATAAAACACAATGTCCTCGGCCGTAAAAAAAAAAAAGGTCTGCGAAATTTTGAATATTATCAAGCATTCATTTACACTACCATATTCATGGCCGCCGTAAAGTTCAAACATCGCTTATGTTTCGTTTGCCTTCAAAAAGGTGAAGCTAACAATTTTGATGCACCAATTTACAGATTTTTAATGTATGTAACTATATTTTTTTATGTTTTGAGTTTGAACCAAATTGGCTGACCAATGAATTTCCCATTGGCTACGTCAATAGGGAGGGAAAGGGGCTGTAGTGCAGGTGCGTTCTGTTAGCAAATTCCGACATTTATCAAACATACATAGTTTGTAATCTCGGTGGGCGGCACAGCGGTGACATTTTTATCTCATCTCCTGTTTTATGTGTTTGTCCTTGTGTTCAGTCTGCAGTTGATGAAAGTAAAATTAAAAACAGATTTTGTGTGACGTTACCCTTCACTGTGTCGACGATGAAATCACAGTATGGTTGATCAGAATTTATTAACCATGGTTTTTGGATCATGAACAGGACAAGGCTTGTATTAAAATTAAAACACAGAATACTTTAATTCATTGTGTGTTTTTAATGCTGGCTGTTGCGCCGAATAAATGGCAACATTCAAATTCAAATATAAAGTTAGCGTACACGAAAATACAAAATTTCTATATATACTATACAACGGCGTCCTGCTACGATCTTGTGGTTTTATACCCATAGCACAATGTCAGCCTGGCGGCCATTTGATTTGAAATGGAATTAGTAAAAAGATTCATACAAATTAGATTAGTGCATTCACAAAACATAGTTTAGAGGGTTAAGTTAAACTTCTCACCTGCCGACCCGCTTCGTTGTTGTGAATATTCATGAGACTGAGCCCATTGATGAGGTCATCTTCGATAGCGTCCATGAAGTCTCGCGAGAAATACATGCCATAGCCTATGTTATCGTTACAGCCATCCCAATTCCAGTTGGACTCTTCGCTGCTTGGAAGGTACTTCGTATCACAACCACATTCTTCAAGAATTCCCATACCGCACGCCCTCGTCACACTGTAGGTTACTCCCGCCGACATGACAGCGTGGACAAAGGCAGTCTCGGCGCTTCCTGTGTAGTATAGAACATATGACGTTACCGATGCAGTTACATTGTTGGTGTATGAAAGTTGCATCGCAATGTCATCAAGTTCACTATTTAAAAACTGGACGGTTTTGAGGTTTTGGAGAAAAAAATTGTTGTGGGGAAAATAGAAATTCTATTCCTACTCCGTGATGACTAGGAAAAAACGAAAATGAAAAGATTGTCTGAATGCGAATAAAATATGTTACCCACACCCTCGTCCAATTTCAAATAAGAACCCCCTAACCAGTATTGGAGTCTCGGGGTATGTGGAATATTTAATCGAATTGAAAATCGTATCATGTGTATAGGTTCCATTCTCAACCACGAGCTTAACGTCACACTTTTTAACAACTTCGCCGTCGAAGTATATGGGCATTCACGTGTTATTATTTTCATATGAAAGCGCCGCGAAAACCGTGGGTTAACATGATTGGCCAATTCACTGATCAATCTGCGGTAACGCCATGCATTCAAATCTCCAAACAGAGAGACACATACATTCGTTTACACTGTTTACACTTTTTGGGGATTAAAATGAACATTTCGGCGCGAATATCACCATTAACATTTTGTTGTTTAGAAGCTCGCTGTACGGTACCCGGATGTACCGCGAATGTAATTTAGTATATTTTTGAGAATTGGTATGGCTTGACGATATTTAATGTTAAAATTAAACAGTCTATTGCAATATTAATCGATCGCGAAAAACATCGCACGTTATAATGCTCAAAACGTCTTTAAATTGATTATTAGGACACACTTACTTTATTTATAACATTTTCTCGACAAATAGTATGACGACTTCAAACTTTGTTTACACCAACATACTTGGTTCGAATTACAACATAATGAACTATTGGCAAATACTGGACATTTTCATTCACGAATACTAAGGCCATGAAAGTATGTGTACTTGTTTTTATTTTACTTTAAACACATGATGATACACTGAAGAGTACAGGGCATGGTGAACCCTAACATGACATCTGGTTTCCATTCCACTAACACTGATAGTATGAAAATGCTATCGTAGCTCTTATTAAACAAAAAAAAAAAAAGACGCCGAAGCAGAAAACCACTGGGACTTACAATACGTGCGTAGTTTCAAAAATTCGTGGATGAATTATTCTGTATTTGTTACGCCGTGCTACTTGAAAACGTGCGGAATGTGTGTAGAGAAATCGAAGGAACTGGGCCGACTAATAACCACCGGGTGATCTCAAGTTAACGGCTTTTAAGGCATAGACGTAAATCAGAGACGGTACATATATACTGATATATATATATATAGCATTTATTGCAGCTATTTATACGTTCTGTTAAGATAGAAGCAAAACAAGTGCCACAATAAAATACCCATGCGTTTTTGCTTACCGTATAGTTTGACGCACATACTAGCAGTGACAATATTACTGTTTTTTTTAGAAAACTGTTACGCACAAAATGACATTTTATCATCATTTACTTTTTTTCCATATAAAAAAGTGAAAACTCGTAATTTACTCTTAACTTGTACGATGACCATGACCAATTACACAAGTTCTCTTGAAACGATGCAAATTATCACCTATGCCTAATTTCAATATTGGCATTATGGTTCGAGCATTCTTATACTGAGTCAGCGTCTTAGCAACGCTGTTTGTTTTACGTACAACCTAGGATTTTAATTACTAATGTAATATTACTAGAACACCAGAAAGCGTGTACGTGTCATTTCACCTTAATTGTCAAGTTGAGTTATGGAATAAGATAAATTCACCCGAGATTTCTTGAGCAGCAAAACCCGAGGGGGGGGGGGCTAACTTTCCAAATATACATCTTTTAAGTATGAACACGTTTTAGTACTCACAAAACCCATGGAGGTAAAAATCTCTTTTTACCTCCATGCAAAACCTAACCATATTCTCACTGAGAGAAATCAGTGCCTTCAAAATGTGACCCCGTGCCCTTATTTAATAAATTCCTAATTAAAATAATAATGATGTCAAATAAGCATATGGATGAATCAAACTTTAAGTTAATTTTAGAAAAAATGATTAAACATTGAAACCAAATAACTCCCTGTAGATATCCAACTACTCAACCTGCCTGGCCCAGCAGCACAATTATATCACACTGGAAGATCTCGTGTGGACCGCGAGCCATCTTCGCGAATCAAGGCCCGTTTATTCGGTGCAGAGAGACAGTGAGCTGAATTCACCAACATATCTAAAGGTCGTGGTTACATGTGTACAAATACTATTCAATTTTAAATTTAAATTAGTTACATGTAAACACGACACTATAGACGGCTAGTGTTTTCATGGTACGTGTCAATTTGTTGTGTGCATCACAGATGAAATGTGTTGTCTCAAAGTCGTTCATAGTCACTAGTTGTGCAGTCATCTCTAAAATCGTCGGAATATCTGTACCACGATATCGACTACATGGGAACTGTGCTACCACAAAACGATTATGGCATTGCATCATGGGAGAAAAAAAGCTTGTTATCAGACACAGTTCGCGTGACTGGGATCTTGAAATACGACACAGTCAATTACACCCCGTTTCAAGTAGCCTACTCACTCGATACTAGCAAAGCACAGGTGGTCTTTCTCAATGCTCAGTAACCAGAAGCTATTACACAGTTTTACATATCCGACAATCTCTGCCAATCATAACTAAACCCGCACACACCGAATCGAATAGTTTGGAATAGGAATCTTAACGTGTACTATGAATGTAACTTTAATATTTACAGGATTTTATAGAATAGAATAGAATTTTACAGAATGTTATAGAATAAAATTTTACAGAATTTTATAGAATAGAATTTTATAGAATAGAATTTTACAGAATTTTATAGAATAGAATTTTACAGAATTTTATAGAATAGAGTTTTACAGAATTTTATAGAATAGAATTTTACACTGACAGAATTTTATAGAATAGAATTTTACAGAATTTTATAGAATAGAGTTTTAAAGAATTTTATAGAATAGAATTCTACAGATTTGTATAGAATAGAATTTTACAGAATTTTATAGAATGGAATTTTACAGAATTTTATAGAATAGAATTTTACAGAATTTTATAGAATAGAGTTTTACAGAATTTTATAGAATAGAATTTTATAGAATGGAATTTTACAGAATTTTATAGAATAGAATTTTACAGAATTTTATAGAATAGAATTTACAGAATTTTATAGAATAGAATTTTACAGAATTTTATAGAATAGAATTTTATAGAATTTTATAGAATAGAATTTTACAGAATTTTATAGAATAGAATTTTACAGAATTTTATAGAATAGAGTTTTACAGAATTTTATAGAATAGAATTTTACACTGACAGAATTTTATAGAATAGAATTTTACAGAATTTTATAGAATAGAGTTTTAAAGAATTTTATAGAATAGAATTCTACAGATTTGTATAGAATAGAATTTTACAGAATTTTATAGAATGGAATTTTACAGAATTTTATAGAATAGAATTTTACAGAATTTTATAGAATAGAGTTTTACAGAATTTTATAGAATAGAATTTTATAGAATGGAATTTTACAGAATTTTATAGAATAGAATTTTACAGAATTTTATAGAATAGAATTTACAGAATTTTATAGAATAGAATTTTACAGAATTTTATAGAATAGAATTTTATAGAATTTTATAGAATAGAATTTTACAGAATTTTATAGAATAGAATTTTACAGAATTTTATAGAATAGAATTTTACAGAATGTTATAGAATAGAATTTTACAGATTTGTATAGAATAGAATTTTATAGAATAGAATTTTATAGAATAGAATTTTACAGAATTGTATAGAATAGAATTTTATAGAATAGAATTTTACAGAATTTTATAGAATAGAATTTTACAGAATTTTATAGAATGGAATTTTACAGAATTGTATAGAATATAATTTTATAGAATATAATTTCATAGAATATAATTTTATAGAATAGAATAGAATAGAATAAAGTCTCGAATTGTAGTAAATGTAATGTTCAACTTTAACACGCGAAAGAAAAGGTCTCTGCGCTGAACGTCACCAAAAATGTTGACCGTCATAACATCGTCCCTGCAAATCTGAAACTAGTCTTAACATTGGAATGTTTTATTCGCGTCCCGTATCAGTGAACAGGAACAAACATGGAAACAGTTATTTTTTTGAATACTATTTATATTACAGTAACCGGGACATGAACACTCCACGGGGAGATCTGCAGTCTGAATGTTGTGTCTATGAATGTTGCCGTTGATTTGCCGTGTGTGGCTTACATCAACCATCGCTGCTGCTCTCGACGCGTTTGTTATGTTCTGAAACCACGTAATGTTTCGTCAGTTACCACAATTGCAAGGATGTGGAGAGAATCTGTCAGGCTCAGGGTGAACTGTACATGCCTTTTAGGAGGTCGTGTGCTAGAGATTGTATATAAATTCCAGTGACTTTCACCACTTGGTGATTGACTTTGTAGTTTTTTTAGAATTTACTCGAATTTATTCTCTTAATCACTCTTAATGAAATCATGAACATATTCCGACGGTGTATGTAGTTTTAAATTGTCTTATAAAGAGTGAATTGAATCTTTTTTTTTAATCAACTGAGCACGTTTTTATGTATATGTCCCGTAAATGTATTTTTATAGGATACATTCCAGTTGAAAAAATCACGAAAACTTGCTAAATCAAATAAGCATTTTTTTTTTATTTAAAAATGTGTGACATTAAGATTCAGATCAATGACAATATATGACGTCAGAAAAATGGGATACGTTGTCATAGAAATGAAATCGGCGTTTAATTTGTTTTCAATTTGATAAGGAGTTTCCCACTTGAAAATCAGGAGATTGAGGAATTGGCTATTTAACGCAATTATTTTTGCATTCGCGTTTTTCAAAATTCTTTTGCGTTGTAGACTGGAGTCATCTGAGAAATCTAAAAAAAACATGATTAGTATAATGTTGAGATACTCACGTGCTTTTGTGATGGTACGTTTACTGAATATATCAGTAGCGTTCTCGATGGAGCAGTTCCATCGCTGATTACGGAACTGGTGCTGGCACTCCGTATGCCCGTACTCTGCCCCTCTCTCTGCATTCGCTATGATATCGGGATGCCGGAGACATAACTCGCGCTGTCTCTGTGACAACCAGGTCATCGAGTCGCAATAGTGTGTTACATCAGATGGCTGCCACGCCCCCGTTTTAATAGAAAGTGTCTTCCTCCCCGGAAGAACTTGTACAAATCTGTTGGGTGGAATTAAAAGAGAAAATGGTGTCCAATTAAAGAAGACGTTGTAGTGATAGTTGTATGAATTTTGAAAGAAGGAAAGAAAGAAAGAATTTGTGATTTGATATTTTTACCATTTTGTGTAAGTCATCAATTGTATCTTTAAAATAATAATTAATATATAATAGTACTTTCTTATATATACGTCGCTTGTTTTGAAGCATTTTCACTGCTTTTTAATTGTCTTTACTGACTACCCGTAACAATTCTCCACCTGTCATCGCCATCAACATCGTCGTCATTATTTTTCCATTTACATGGTGCGTTCATGTGGAATGCAATTGCCTCTCAATGCTCCTTCGTGTTTGTATTCGTTTTCGCTATTTAGTTTTAAAGCGTATCAAAACTTACAGGACCTCCCACGTCGGCTACACATTTCGCTAAAACAATGGTCCGATGTGTATTGGGAAGCGAAGGACAAAAACTATCATAGTTATGTTACAGTTAAGTCGGAGAATTTAAATCGCCAGTCTCAGTCAAAGCTACGACCTGCGCAGTGCATATATACGATCGTAGATTCTAGATAATATCACATCGGGAGTTGAGATAGAGTCGACATGTGAGTCACAGAACGCTGTGAGAGTGTGAGAACTCAACTGATTCAAGTCGACATTTCATCTCCGCGGGCTAGAAAGCAATTATCTCGTGTCTATACCATATCAACAACACACGAGGCGACATGACATTGGGATAGGAAATCAAACAACCCCCGTCACATTGATTTAAGATGATACATTTCGGAAACAGTAATGTAAGTGTACATCACATGGGCAGGGACTTACGCATTGCTATAATTACAGAATTGGCGACATTAACAGTCTCGGTTCAAATGTCAGTTTGGACTACAAACATTGTGCGTGTCTGTGTGTCAATTAAAGCTAAAAAATGTGTTTAACTACGGGAATGAATGCCTGTCTTTGAGAGAAGGTGAAAACGCGATGCTGGGGTGGAAATTATAAAATCCGAGAAATGGTAAAAAATAATGTTTGCAGATTTCCAGCAAGACTTTTATTTCCAGCCGATTATTGCTGTATCACATTTTTTTTTTAAATGTATCTTCTTCATTCCCGGGATATGTAATAATCAACTCACTTAATATGGCAGGAATTGAAAGCATAACTTTATTCTATTGTCTAATGTTTAATTTTATTAATTTTTAAATAAGTTGTTTATGTACCAACAATAGAAAAAACAAAAAATCTCAACGTAAGCGACCAGGTTCAATTTTCTGTTATCTGTCTATTTTTATGTTATCTTACAGCCCATATGAAACGACGATTCCCCCGAGTGGACGGAATTCGTGTCTCAAGATATGCCAATCCTGGAGGATCAGCCATGCGACGGAAATAATAGTGTTAGCAATAACAACTATGCATTGTTTGTTGTGGTTTTAAACGCCACTCTTGTCAGAAAAATGCAATAACTGTCAGACTTGGCTATATGTTAAATACTTGGCAAAGCATTATTGTCAAATATCGACAAAGGCTTATGATTTAAAAGAAAGAAAAACGTTTCAGCAAAGTTAAAGATAATATTGACTAACAAATATCGCGATGGTTTGGTATAATTATGGAATAGATCTATGGGAACTAGAGGGCCCCATGTGTAAGGTACACTGACGACCGGATAAACGTGACATGTGCCGCCGACTCAAGGCCAAGGTCAGAGTCCTTTCACCTTAACAAGTACCATCCATAACCACCAGATCACTGTTACATACATGACTCAATACTTGGACTTTTGCAAGTTACTGGAGCCAGCTAAACAAAATTGAGGACACAAAGGGGAATATGGCCCATAAAATATCATTTGCGCAAAGTTAGGGAGTCGTTAAACCATTTGTTAAGATGATGTTGGTTATAAATACAATAACAGCATTTTTGGAAGTTGTTACCATTTATTCGTATAGTGATGGCACTAACCTTACATCTCACCTTTGCGCCCGGTGGCATATTGTGAACAAAGTGTTTAACGTAATTGATAGGGCTTACAAAGCGGATAAATATGAACCCCAAAAGTGATTGTTTTCCTTTAAAAAAAATAAATATCACGCTAATTCCAAGTTATATTTTTCATTTTCCGCAAGAATTATGAGCAGACGTCTACCTTAATGCGGTACATTTCTTTATATAAAAATGTACTATTATATTTTATAATTATAGTATACTATGTACTGCATGCACAAACGTACATACCCAATTATATATATATATATATATATATATATATATATATATATATATATATATATATATATATATATATATATATCAATATCGTGTATTTGGTGCCACCATGTTGCGAGGCCGATAGCGTGATAAGTGATATCTACAACCACACGTGGTCGCCGTTAAGTAGTACTTTAACGCAAAAGATTAAATGTTTTTTTTTTCTTTCTTTGACAATTTAAAAACGATGACTGGCCATTCCGTCAACACCATAATGCTGTTCAACGGAGTGTTCTTTCGAAATAAATAAAACGTCATTCTATTTTTCTTTCGATTATTTTTAAAACTATTAAATTAATAAATTAGTCAATAAAAGTGAGCTTGTGTATCGTCGTAATCTCGAGAGTGCTCTACAAATCCTGTCTATCTGCCTCTCTAGAGTGATCTCCGACTTCTGACCTTTGTCGTAAAACTGAGTCTCGTAAATCACGACTGAAATTCGTAAACTGAATCGTGTATAAACTTAACCCGGTACTGCAGCTGATCAAAAATCGCGTTGGAGTATTTATTGGCGTCTTTTTTGACAGAGACAAACTTTTCAACAACGAAGCAATACCATTTAGAACAATTTATTAAAAGTTTCTATACAATCGTTGAGACTGTTCGTCATTTGAGTAGAGTATTAAAAACTCAATTGCCGACCAAGAGACGTTTGTTCACGTGGAGCAATTTCACGAATACGAGTCAGTTTGAATTTCAACTGCATTAACCTATGCACCGAGTGTATTAATTGACACCATCTAGAGGGAGAGAGAGAGAAGAGAGTTTGCTGACACTGAAAACCATTGATATATAGTCTGTCTATTAAATCATAGAAAACATCGACACTGTTTTAAATCTGAACGAAAATTTACGTTGCAATGTTCTAGTTTCTAGACATTCCAGAGCAGCCTCTATTAAAATAAACCAAGTGACTGTTTTGAAACTTGCGACTTATTTTCCCCGGTGTGACTTGGAATACTTGAACTGCTCTAAGATTGCGAGACAGCGGTCGGTACGGATTTTGTTTATCGTACTATCGTAAACTTGAAAGACCTCGTATTTACTACTAGTATCCAAA